TTTGTTTGGGGGGGCAAAGCAGCACATGGGCAATACTAAGCGGCACCCAAGTCTCAAGTCGCATGGTCGGAGTCCAGGGCGTCTTTCCCAAGACTCATCCCAAGCCTTAGGGGTGACGCTCAACTGAGGGGTGATTTATCCCATGGCCTCTCCAATCAGCTCCAATGCTTCAAAATTTGCTTAAGCCCCATGGAAAAAATATATGTCCAGTAGTGATAGATTCCCTTTAAAACCAAGAGGGAAAATCGATAAACAAATAAATAAAAAGGGAGGCCATTGCCAGACTGAGGACGTGGAAGAGGTCAAGTGGATTGGCCTAGAAACCGCCAAGCGCCTTCACCGAGAGGAGGAGGGCGTGATTTTCATCGACGTCCGGGATCGCAACGACTTCCTGGCCGGGCACATTGCGGATGCATACTGCACTCCTCTGCCTGAGATCATCGCAGCTTTGCGTCAAGATAGGTGTCCTTTTGGTTGATTTGGTTTAAGAAGAAGAGGTGGTTCAACCAACTACCAGGGCCACCTATTTTCCCAAAAAGGACAACTATGGTCAAGACGTGTTATTTCGGCATTTGAGCTGATTGGAGAGGCCACCCAGCACCCGACTGTTCTTTGTCGGCTGTCATGTGGATGACCAGCTGAGATGCTAAGCACAAGCGACCAACAGATGCAGGAGACTCACTCAGGTCGCAGGTTGGTGACACATCAGGGACATAGAAGGGCCATTCTTCACCTGGTGTTGAGTGCTTGTGGCGCCTGAATCGCAACTTGCAACGCTGGCTCTTCTGCTTTGGTTGCGCACAAAGGCTCAGCAGAAGATTTGGCTTTGGCATCATTGTTTAGAAGGTGAGTGGCCAGCCAAGGACTACGGCTTGGTGAATGTGTTTATGGCAGCTGACGACAAGTTGATCCATAAGTTGCTGAGCCCTGGCTGCACCCTTGGCAAGGTGTCCGCTCTAGCCTTCAAGCCGCTCATGCTGGAATGTGTGTTCCCCAAATGCATGTGGCTTCTGTGGTTTGAAAGCCGCCCAGTGCACTGCAGGAAGCACAGAACCAAGCCCATCGTTGTCTACAGCAACTGGGCTTCAGCGAGAAGTGCTGTGGTTTGCAGCAAGCAGCACGGCAATCCCCACATTTGGCCTGTGACTGGAGGCCCCGCAGATACTTCTGAATGGGCTATCAGACCCCTCAGGCCCCGAACGTGTCAGTTTTTTGTTGAACTCGGCATGCGGAATAGCCTTTTCCTCTCCCGTCGCCGAGCTTTCAGGGAGGACTGGACATAAACAGCTCGTAAACTCCTGCAAATGCTGAGCCACCGAAGGATCCCCCTTGTGACGCAAGCTACCACTTAGGCTTGATGCGGAGCCAGGGTTTCCAGGCAAGCCCAGCTTGCTTTTCGGGGACTCAAAACTCATGATATTCCAAGGGCACAGAATGCTTCAAGATCTCTAACCGCCAGCAGTGCTGTTGTGCGCATGGTCCTCCCTATGCTTCCCAGTGAGTCCAGCACAACCTCCGGGGCATGCTGGGCATGCTGGGCATGCTGGGCCCCTCTGGATGCTTCTTTTCCATATTCAAGCCAGAAGCAGCTGCTAGTTGAGCTGCTAGTTGAGCGACAAGGCGTTTCATACCAAGGGCTGGCACATTCCAGGGGCTTGCTTGCGCAAGAATTCAATCCGGGGGTGAGCTTCGTAAATTGCACGAGCTCACCCATGCAGATTTCCAAAGTCCATTCCAGCGGTGCCAAAACCCGCATCCGCCATGTTATGCAATCATGTTGCACCAACAAAACCATTACAAGCATGTAGAACCAACACTAAGCTTTACAACCAGTAGAACCAAGCCCTTACAGCCAATAGAACTAACCAAACCCTTACAGCCAGTAAAACTACCCAAACTAGTCAGGGCTCCCTATACGTCCCTTTTTTGGTGGTTTGAAACATCACCTTTTTGGCCCATGAAAGGTGAGCATCCCTTGGTGGGGATAATGTTTGAAGGGGAAATATAGGGAGCCCTGCTAGTAGCACCAAAACAAATCAATAGGTTTCTACCTCGCGTTGTTTTCAGTTCGAGGCGAGGTGGCGACGCCCTTCTCCCGGTGCCGCGCCTTCTGCCGCTGGCTGTTGCGGGCCGGGCATCAGACCATCAAGGTGGACCGGGTGCGGCGCCTCCGCGCCTCGGTGGTTTCGGAAGGAGACCGACCGACGGGAGCGACGGACGGGAGCGACGAGGATTTGACGGATTTTTCGCCAGGCGCCGCTCGCCCGTTTTCGCCTCTTCTCATGCAGGGAGATGGAGATAGATGGTGGTTCAAAACCGTTTATGGATCGCATTGTGGGATAGGTGCACCACCCATTCTAGTCTATAGTGGGGATTGGGATGTTCACTGGGGGTACGGGGTTTTGACCCATGGGCAGATGAGAAGATGTCCACTATGGAGTCACCCAACTTCCGTTCATACACACAGTCTATCATTGGCGAGTGCACCACGAGTGGACCCTGAAATGGACACTGCCTGAATTTGCCTTTTTTGTGGAAATGAACTTGACCTTTGGGAAATTGTCTTTGTGTTCGACTATTTCTGGCTGCTTTGTTTGAACGATGTTGTACTTAATCCGACTTTTGCTAGCAGGAATCCTCCAGCACCACGCATGCTGAGGAAATCAGTTTTAAGGGCACTTCCTGCGATACCAGGGGCACCTACTACTGTCAAGCCGCAAGGTAGTCATAGGGATTGCCTGCTGCGGTGCTCATTTTACCACAGGCACGAGGTCTTGCCCCATGGATCTCCATGGTATCGATGTGGGAGTCACGTTTGCCCGAGGTGGAGGCATCTTCGGATGGAAGCACAAGGATGGCCAGGGGCTTAATCGCCCCACTTCTAGGGGTCCATTCCTTTTCCATTCTTTTCGATCATCGTTCTTTCGAAAACCGGATCCGTTTCCCCATGGTTTTTAAGTGGTTTTCTAGAAAGAAGGATCCCTGGAAAGAATGGGGAAGCTACCCTTAGACCACTGGAAAGTTCTCCAAGTGGATTTCAAGTTGAGATTATTCGAACCGAGGACCGGTTGCCCGACCGCTTCAGGATGGGGCATGGCGGCATTACTCGGCAAACGCCGCGTTGAAGTACCTTCATTTTCAAGAGTCCTCAGCTTTCAGGTTAGTGATAAGAAGGCTGCAGCATTTGGTATTTTGGACGCATGTCTTCCGCTCTGATTTGGACGGATCCTGGGATCCTGCCCGGCGGCTCGCAAAAGAACAGTTTGCACCTAGCCTGGAGCGTGTGCCATGAAGCATGTGAAGCCCTCATGACTCATGACAGGTTCAACTCGGACTGGTTGTGGCACCAGTTTTTTCTCCTTAAGTGGGTTCCAAAAAGGGGCCCCCTGCTACCAGCATTGGGCAGCGGGCACTTGTGGGCTGCTTGAAGCCTCAGGGCTTGCCTGTGCGTGGCACAGCCCCCTAGGGAGAAGGCCACAACGAGCTCGCCAGAAAGTGCTTATCGCCGTTGCGGTTCCCAACGGTTGGACTATGCCCACAAAATGGCTACCATGGGACATTCACATCATGCCATGCTAGGAGTTGCTACCACTGGCCGTGCAGTTAGTTGCAACTTCGGCTGCGGCACCTTCTACATAAGAAACAGCACGGGATCGTGAAGCGTGCAACAGGATTCGATGTGTTGAGACGGGCAAACCTTAGGCAGTCCACTCTAGGAGTTGTTTCTGGCGAGAAATGGCAGGTCAAAGGTGGGGTGTCCAAACTGTTGTCTACAGAATAAGATGGAGTTCAAATGTCTGATGGCAGAGCTTTGCAGCGCAGGACACCACCTACGAACTTGCCGATGCCCCTGAGTCGGCGCTCGGCATAGCTGCCTCGCTCATCAGCGCGCGGGGCGTGGTGGCAGACTAGCGCCCAACTCTCTTTCCCCGTGAAGGGGCGAAGTTGTACCATGCCGCACCTGTTTCTTCACTGTTCTTGGCAGGTTGTTTGGTATTCTCACACAGCTTTTTGCTTTGTTTGGTTCTGTTTATTTTTTGGTAGTGGGCTGCAAAAAGCACAAATGTCTGCTACTATACCAAGCGATGTGTTCCTTGAAGCACTTGTGTTTGCAATTGCGACATCCAGGCATGTGAATTGCAGAGGATGAGGATGGCTAGAACGGTTTTAGCGCCTAGAACTGCTCCACGTATGTTGCCAGGACTCGATCATTTTCCGCAGATTTGGAAGGGGCCGTTTTCCGCCGCGCGGCATGCGCCCGGGAAGCCAGACGTGAGCCACCTTTAGCCGGCCTCCCCCCCTCCAAAGAGCGCCTGTGAGGAAAAGCTGTGAGATGCTTCGAGCGGGGAGGTTGCGCACTTGGTTTCTTGGTCCGGTTTTTTCCTGATAAGAAAAAGGCAGTTCATCCCCAGTTCAAGATTTGGGGTGCCCTATGGTTTGTATGGTTCACTTCCTGGGTGGGCCGGATGGCATGACCAATCAAGAAGTGTTGCGGGATGTGGACAGGGGTGTGGAAGACTCAGTCAAGTAGGAAAGGAAGAAAGGTCCAAGCAGTACTGAAAGTACTCCCCCCTTTCTGCGCCCCAAACAGTAACGGATGCTTCTTAAGGTAAAGAGTTTAAAAGGGAGCAGTTTTTTTTTCCAAACAAGGCTGCAGGGTGACTGATGGCAGGGGGTCTTCCAATAAGACTGGAAGAGAGGTCGGTGGGTGAAATCGCGAGTTTAGTATTGGAATCAAATTGGGCAGTGCCGATATTAGGTGGACCTTTCTATATAAAGCTGAAAGCTTGCACGTTGACAGCGCGTGTCCGACCGTATGCCAGCTCTTTGCTGAAGTGACATGTCAGTCTCATCCGCTTTCTGCTTTCGAGAGAAGCCTGTTATTCACTTTGGTCTATCTGGCTGGTTTACCTCTCGCGTTTCCCATCAGCCCTACCCAACCCAAGCCCAGTGGAGGAAAGGTCAAGGGGGTGCAACCCCCGCGGCCTGTCGCTAATCAGGCTGGTCCGGACTTGGAGGTCGATGTGCCGGGGCCTCAGTGCTCTAGGTGCACCCACCCGCCCTGCCACGCGCTGTCATGCAATCCTGTGAAAGCGCTTTGGGGCCACAGGACGTGCGTTGCAGTGTTTGCGGAATCTTGAAGAGTGGCAACCAAAGGTGCTGCGAAGCAGCTTCCTGGCGGACCTTGCAATATCCCACTCACCCGCGAGACACTCGAGCCGCGAGCTTTTCGAGCCGCGATCGAGGCCGGATGGATGGCAACGGGCCCAAGCCTCAAACCGGTGCACCGGGCCACGACCGTTCCGTTCAGCGACAAAGCCAATGCACAGTTTAAGAGGTGTGCGGTGGGCGGCGGCGCATGTTTTTTTTTTTGGCCGGGCGGAATTCTGGTGGGCGCATGTCTTTTGTCCCCCTGAAATGACCTTGACAAGGCTCCAAGGGACTTTTGCTATGTCCTGGCGTCGCCATCGATCCCCGTTTTTCCAAGCAAAGACTATATCAAAAGGGTTGTGTGAAGCCCTGGGGTCAAGTGGAGCTTCCGAGGTGAAGACTTGGACCAGGGCGGTGCGGCGCAGGTTTCTCACAGGTCAGGGGCGCTTTGGGTGTCCCTTTGGGAGATCTGCCTTGGGCACAAGGGCAACATAGGAGATAGAGACGGGGCCGCAGGATTCTGGGAGTTGCCCAGCCTGCATGATGAAGCGCAGTCGATCCACAAGCGAGGGCCATACTCAAACCAAACCTGCGGACCAATAGGCTGGCGTCTCCAACCTCCGATGCTTCAAAGCCATGTTTCAACCCCCCCAACTTGGCTCAATCCATAGATCTCCAGTGCCCTGAAATTAGCCATAGGCCTGGATGACCACTTGAGCTCATTTCACTTGCCTCAACCCACATTGCTCCACGAAATGCTGGTTCACACGCGTCGGGGTGATATGTTCGCAAAGATTTGCTTCAAGCACTTGTGGCAGTCCGTCCGAAGGCGGCGGCCAATTGAAATCGCTGCGACTCGCCAGGGATCTTCGCATGCGACTACCTGCTGTTGCCATTGCACCACGAGGCTTCGACTACAACTGCGGGGGGCGGTCAGGGTTGACGGCTTGCCTTTTGACGCTGCGGGGAGTTGAATTGAGAGATGCCACCTAGAAGAACTCACGTTGAGGGTGCCTTTATATTCCCACAAGTGTCCAAAGGCAAACCTCGCAAGTGGCATTTGCAGGGCGTCAGTGCACATACAATTCTAGGGGTTGATTCCCCATTCTTTTAAACCATCGTTCTTTTCAAAAACCAGCTTTTTCTCCAGGGTTTTTGGTGGTTTTCTAGAAAGAAGGATCCCTGGAAAGAATGGGGAAGTTACCCCTAGAGCAATGGGCATGTCTCAAGTCGTGGGCGCTTTGCAGTACTCTGCAGCGGTGGAATGGCACCCAGGCAGAGCGCCATTGGTCCTTGGCAGTGGCCGTGACCTCAGTGGTGGTTTAAAAGAAGAGAGAGAGAGAGAGAGAGAGAGACGGATACATATATATATATAATGTATATCTTATGTGTAAATATGTATGCAAATGTGTTTAGGCATGTGTATATATATATATATATGGACTCACGTAGCGGGTATAAAGAGTAAAGCACTTGTCTGCCGCAGCCACGTCAGTTTAAGGTGTGGCGTAGTTGGATGGGGGAGCAGCCGTGCCCACTGTGTGAAGGTCGGTACGGGACCTTCCGGTGGTGCACGGTGTGTAGCTCCCTGGAACAGCTCCGTTTCGCTGTCCTCCGTGGGTTTGAGCGGGAGGACAGCGAGGAGCTTGGGAGGAGAATCAGGGATTTCTCCTCGACCCTCCTGTCTTGGGGCGCTCGGCTCCAGAGGCAGCGGGAGGGTCGCACTTTCGATCAGGTCAAAGCCGGTGGTGCTGGACCTTCTGTGCCCGCTGGGCTAGGGACTCTTAGGCCGGCTGAGCCCGCTGGCCCCCCTCCGGCAGGAGGGGATCTGGAGGGGACGCACTCGGCGTCCTCTCCTGCTACCACCTCCAAGGCCGCTCCGGAGGTGCGAAGAGTTTCCCGCACGCCAGAAAGGCGGAGGAGAAAAGAGAGCAAGAGGAGCCGCAGCTCCAGGAGGAGGAAAAGCCCGGAAAGGGCTAGGCATCGCAGGAGAGAGGCTTCTGCGTCACCTGTGGGAGCGCCCGTGCCTCCCAGGGATCCCCCTCCCCCTGCTCCTAGGCCCCGTTCCCCTGTGGAATTGCCTGAGGAGGTTCCGGAGTTGGGTGCCAGGAGGAGGGAGGCGAACGAGGTATCCCTCACTGAGTCAGAGGGTGAGGATAGCCCTGAAGTGGCTGCATCTCCTCTTCCTGAATAGTCGGGAGTTGGCCGTGATTGGGTTGGGCCCATTCCGGCAGGTAGGAGGCCCCGGGCAGTAGCCCCTTGGAAAGGGGGAAAGAACAAAGGCAAAAAGAAGCGCGAGAGGCAGGCCCGATTTCGGGGCCGTTGAGGGAGGCTGGAGTAATGCCTCCTAAGAATGTGAGGAGGCCCGCAGCAGGTTTGCCGCCGGTGAGGCGACCTGCTGGGATTCTGAGGAGACCGGCTGCTGCTGTGATAGAGACTTGATGGATAAAGGGATCTGCGAGGTGGTGCCTGTGGATGAGCTGTTTCACATTCAAGGTCAACCCCTCCTGAATGGCATGTTCGGAGTTGGAAAAGGCGAGTTTGTGAACGGGAAGGAGACACTCCGGTTGATCATGAACTTGATCCCTTTGAATAGAATCTGCCGAAGTGTTTCCGGTGACGTTGGTACGTTGCCCCAAATTTCGGGGATGTCCGCCTTCGTGTTGGAGGGGTCCGAAGTGGCCCTCCTGTCGTCTGAGGACATCAGATGCCTTTTCTATCTTTTCCAGGTTCCCCCCGCGTGGAAAAGATTCCTGGGGTTCAACAAGGCTGTCCAGAGGACCTCGTTCCCTCCTCCCTTACTGGGAGGAAGTGCGTTCTTGCCGCCAAGGTCCTCCCTATGGGGTTCCTTAACAGTGAGCATCGCCCAGCATGTGCACCGTAACGTGATTAGGAGCGTGGACCCCCTCCTTTTGACGGGAGATCAAGAGATCCGCAAAGACAAGAGTTTCCCTGCGAGCTCCCGCCTTTTTAGGATCTACCTCGACAACTTCGATTTCATCCAGAAAGTGGACTCCCAGTTGGCCTTCAGGCTGGAGGGGAGGGAGAGCCCGGAACAGGAGGCTGTCAGGAAGGCCTACGAGTCGGCCTGTCTGCCTCGGCATCCCAAGAAAAGTGTGGTTAGTGCTGAAAGGGCAGAGGTGCAGGGCGCTGTCGTCAGAGGCAAAGAAGGAGTGGCTTATCCCCGCCCGGAGAAAGTACTTAAGTACATGGGTCTAGCGGTGGAGCTGATTGTGTGGGGCCGAGCTGGCCTCAAGCATCTGCAAGTGGTCGCAGGAGGGCTGGTGTACATTGCTATGTTCAGGCGCCCGCTGTTTTGTGCCCTCAATTGCGTGTGGCGTCACATTGAGGTTCTGAAGCAGGGAGGTGGCAAGCCTCAGCTTCTACCTCCTGCCGTGGTGGCCGAGCTGGTGCGTTTCTTGTGTTTGGTCCCTCTGGCCCAACTGGACTTCCGAGGGGAGTTGGTGGGAGATGTCACTGCAAGTGATGCGTCCACCACTGGTGGGGGTATCTGCGTCACGGAAGGCCTCACGAGTTATGGGGTTCATGCCTCCCAGGCCAGTATCCGGGGGGAATGGCCTGAACCCCATGATATGTGTCAGGTGTTGACTGTAGGCCTTTTTGATGGCCTTGGAGCTCTTCGCTTGGCTTGTGATGCGCTTGGCTTGCCTATGTGTGGGCACATTTCCGTTGAATCACATGCCCCGGCCCGCAGGGTTGTCGAAAGTTTCTTCCCAGGTACCGTGATGTGGGATGATGTCCGCACTGTAACTGAAGAAGTCGTTCTGCAGTGGTCAACCCAGTTCTCCTCGGCAGGAGTAGTGCTCATAGGAGCCGGACCCCCTTGCCAGGGGGTCTCCAAGCTGAACGCGGACAAGAAGGGTGCTTTGAAAGATGCACGAAGCTGCCTCTTTGCAGAGGTGCCCCGGATTACCGCGCTGATCCGCCGATGTTTCCCCTGGTGCCAGGTGAAGTTCCTCATGGAAAGTGTTGCATCCATGGACGACTGTGACCGGCATCACATGAGTGAGGCCATAGGATTTGGGCCCTGGCATGTTGATAGTGGTCAGGTCAGTCCTTGCCGGCGTCCTAGGCTGTACTGGGTCGATTGGGAGCTGGGTGGTGGCGAAGGAGTTTCAAAGCCGAGACCGCCTGGGGCTCCTGGCAAAGATGTCGGCCTGGTAAGCTTAAGCGCTACTGTGGACTGGAAAGACTTTTTAAAGGGAGGTTGGAGGCCGCCTCCGAGTGGAGTGTTTCCTACCTTCACCACTAGCCGGCCTTCCCCCACGCCTGGCCGCAAGCCTGCTGGGTTAGGAACATGCCAGCCACATGAGCGGGCCCGGTGGGAAGCTGACCGTCAGAGATTTCCGCCGTACCAGTACAAGGACAAGTTTTGTGTGTGGAACAAGCAGGGCGACATCCGTCCTCCTGACATCGAAGAACGGGAGGTGGCCATGGGGTTCCCTTTGGGGTACACCAAGGCCTGCATGCCCAAGTCGCAACATGGCAACATCCAGTTCGAGGATTGTCGGCTTAGTCTAGTGGGCAATTCGTGGAACCTCTTCGTGATCACCTGGTTGGTATACTGGCTGTTCTTCCCGTTGGGACTGTGTGCACCGCGGTCTTTGCAGGACATCGTGAAGAGCCTCACGCCCGGATACTACTGCGGCCCCTTTTGAGGGCTGTCAGGGGAGGGGCCCTGGGCTAGTTAGCCACCACTAAGAGGACGTAACTTTTTATTTATGACAAAGTTGGACTTGCTGTGCGCAGAAAAAGTGCTGCTTACTCTTTATATATGTTGCTTGTTTGTTGCTTTGGCCATTGGCGGGTAGCGGCTGAGCTAAACTGAAAGAGAACCAATGACCAGAGACAGAAGGCGCTTGGCTGGCCCAAGGGCCAATACAGTGCCGCGAGGAGCCGTTTTGCTTTTCATTGTCATGTGTCTCGGTCGCCTGATGCTTGTCAAATGTCAAGCATGGTGAGCAAGGCGGCATTGGGGCATGAAAAGGGAACCAGCATTGGCGAGGGAGTTGAAACATTTTTTTGGCACGCCGAGGTTTGCAGACCTTGGGCCTGCATTGATCTGGCAAGCTCTGCTCTGGCCTCAGGTTTGGCCTTGACTTGTGAGGAAAAAAACCGAGGCAAGCAGAAACCGTACCAGTAGTAGTTGTCATCCTTGCCAATGCCTTTGCCTCATTGTAAATAGCCCCCCTCTCCCCAAAGAGAGGAAGAGAACAATAATTGAGCAAATATACAATAGCCCCGCAACATGATACACTCCCTGGCTGGAAGTCATTGCTGCTATTCGACAAATGCTTCGTTTACCGAGCGCGTGCATCAGCATAACCGTAAAGTTCAATATCAATTGAACCTAAATGATGTCGCTCGGGATATTCGATTTTTGGCCGCCAAAATGTCTTTGTCCTGTCTCACGGAAGGCCTAGCTTGGTGACGGCTGTGTTCCGGTTCCACGCCAGGCCCACTAAAGCCAGCCATGTGAGACTCAGAGCGAGATGAGCGACACGACCCCCGTCCGCTTTAGTAACGCGTCCAGCAGCCTCAGCGAATTCACTAGAACGACCTGTTCTGTGGGCGAAGCTAGCCTGCATGAACTCGTTTGGCAAGGTCTGCTTCTTTTGCATGAGTGCAGACGGGGATCGTTTTTTTTGTTTTTTTTGGGGGGGGGGGGGGTTCCATGGGTTTGATGGGGATTGGGAGTTTGGGGGGGGGGGGTCAGTTTTCACTCTGCAGAACTAGTTGCTCGCGCACGGCGTGGTGCAATCGCCTCTTTGACCCTGCAACATCCACACATGCACATAGGTGTCCTTCTTGGTTGGTTTGCTTAAAACATAGAGGGCCCTGGCTTCGATGGGGTTTATTCCATTTACCAGGGCCAGCTATTTTTCCAAAAGGCCACCTATGCACATGCATAGCTTCAGCTGAGGTTACGCCCTCGTACACGACCATTGCCTTTCTGGACTCTTTGCGTGCTCCTGGCAGTCAGGCTAGAGAGGCAGGTGGGGCAACCGATCAGCTGGGCCAAATGTGTGCATTGAGTGCCATAAAAAAAAGAAGAAACACAAGAATGTAAGACTTTCGAGTATACTTAAGTACGATGGATAATTTGTTCAATTCTTCAAGGCCCCTGGTTTATGGCTTAGAACCCAGGTCGTGTGTGGCCCCTTAAGTGATAAATCTGGCTGCGGCCGGGGGTTGGGCCGCTTCAGCGCAGCATCCAGGGGATCCAGGGCACGGGCTTGTTTGATGGAAATCCCAAGCATGCCGCTGATGGGGGCGCATCTCAGAATCTTCCAATCAACATCCACCCGGGCTAGGGTCCTAGGGTGGGCGTGGCACAGATCTTTTGCAGCTGCGGGACTGTGATGTGTTCCACTCGTGTTACCCGCTCTGAAGGAACATTTTGGACCTCCCCCTTCCTCCCACAAAGATTCGAGCCCTAAAGTGCCCGCCAAGGGCTGTAAGAACCTCTCCCCAAAAAATCAGGGTCTCCAATCAAAAGTGCGAAGTTCCGATGCTGAGCTTCAGTGAGGCAACAGTTTCTGTTGCAGGAGGCTGTGGTGAAGACTTTGCGCCAGTACCTGCAGTGTGAGTGGTCTGACTGCGGGGAAGCTGGCTGCTTCCGGCCCGAGCGAGTCAAGGCAGGGCATGGGGACTTTTGCGTGGCCAGCGGGCGACCTCTGCCCTCAGACCCCTTGGGATCGCTACGGGAGATGGGCCGCTGAAAGCCTGTGTTCACGAATCGCCCTGGCTTTCGTGAAGCGGAAGCCTGTCCCAAGGCGGTTGCCGCGCGCCTCGTTTTCGCAGGCCGTGCCCATCCACGTGCCGCAGCAGCCCAACGACTTCGACTGCGGCATCTATGCGGGGGGCTCTTGTTCCGGCTGAAGTTGCTTTGCCGTCGGCTTGTGTGGTGAAAGTTGAAGCATACGTCGTGTCCCAAGTTGCAATGCCATTGGAGCATGCGTGTGCCAAGTTGAAGCATACGTCGTGGCCATTGGCCAGAAACACTCCGCACTTGGTTGTGTGATTTGTTCGGTTTTTCGCTGTCAATCGCGCCCAGCTTGTGAAGGGTTGCGCCATGTTGCGCCCGAGCATTGAGAACTCAATCCTGGCAACCAAGCAAGCTCAGCGTTCGGTGAGTCCTGGTTCGGTGCCAAGGATGGACTCCTCCTCCCCAGTGTCGCACGGATCGATGTTTGGCCAAAGCAAGGTGCTCCACAGTAGCCTTGAGACAGCAGATGTGTTGGGACAGTCGGGTTAGATTTCCAATGACAGCTCATCCGGCCAGATAGGCTATGAACCGTGCTTAAAATGGGCAATGACATGGGGAATTGCACTGCGTGACCCAAATATTGAACCCCCCCCCGGCGTCCATGACATCGCCATGTTGCGCCACCTCCGCTGCCAAGGTCTTGGAGTTCGTGCTCCTCGCACTGCATTGGTTTGCGACAGAGTGCGGGGGAGGTGGGCGAACTTCAGGGCTTGTCCGGACCGGTCCGGACTGGAGGGGTTAATAAGAGGAGGTCGTGTTCCAGAAGCGGCAAGTTCTGTGAGGACCCGGGGTAAGTTTGCGCGCCTTGGTGACTCGTGTTGCTGGGGCCACACCCCGCCGGAACATGAAGTCAAGCCCACTCTGCTGGGTCCCCCAGTGCTGCCCTTTAACCCTTATTTGGGGGAGGGTTCCCCTACTAAAATAGACTACAGGAAAAAAAAAGGTACCCTTATTCTAACCTCTCTACTGGAGGACCTAGTCTGGCGATGTCCCCTTGGAAGCTCATAGCGAAAATGTCCATTTGGGATCCCTTCCCGCAGATCTCTTCGCCCCAGAGCTCGAGCCTGGCGGTGAGGCTACAGCTTCTCCAGCGTCCCTGGCGCCTCACGGCCCTTGGCAAGCGTCCGGTGAACTTCCAGGCGATTCCCACAGAAAATGGTCCGTCCGCCAGTTAGTGCACGACGCTGGACAGGTCCGCTCATGCACTCTTCATGGTTCCTCCGCTTTTTGTGGGGGATGTCAAGGTTGACGGTCTCACACAAACAAAGCAAGCGACGTGTAGAACTGAAGTCCCGGATAGGCCTGTTTCCGACCAGCATGGCGGACGGAAAAGGGGGCATTTTGAAGATCTAGACTCCCCAACCCGGCGGTAATGGTTTCAAGGCTCAGCTCCGGGCTTGGACCAGAACTTGAAGGGCCGAAAGCAGAGGACTCTTTCCTAAGGGATTTTGTTTATGCACTTTCCTACGGAACAAGCTTGCACCTTCCCTCCTGGCTGCGAGTCTTTGGGCTAGCTTTCGGATTTCGGCAGTCCCCAAAGCTTGATTGAAAGGTTCGGCCCATCCGTTCTCGGCAAGACCTGATTCCCCAGGCAAAACCAACAACTTGCGAGTGCTCAGCCGGGAATGTGGGAAGAAAACCCAGTCCCCTTACAGGAACCCACCAGTTGCATGGTTACGGGTCATTCCAACTCATTTTCTGCGTCTCTCGCAGGGCAACTCCCACATGGTTTTGGGGCCAACACCTGCAGGTCTCAGAGCCCCGGCCGCGCTGGCGCCGGGCGGCGCAGCTGCTCCGAGGCGGGGATCGAAACATCGAATGGGTCAGTGGAGCATTGGCCCCCCAAGTGGGTATGGGTCAAAATCAAGACACCAGATAAACCGCAGGTTTTAGTCCATGTTTCCACTTACCAGGGTTCCATGTTGGACACCTATTTTTGACCCATACCCAAGTGTTCGCAACATGTAGGCTATTGCTTGCTGGTGCGAGAGATGCAGGGAATGAGGAGGAAAGACCCTTACAAGCCTTCTGATGCGGTTTCCTTTAGGGTGACCCGGGTTCATTCCCACATTGCCGTCTGAGCACCAGAAAGATTATACGCTTGTAGGGACCTGGTCGTTTGAGCATTCGTGCACATTGGGGGGTGGCCAAGTTGGGCAAGCTCATTCTTGAGTAAGAATTCGGATCGTTGGCTAGGTCCGGAGTAGTTCATGGATGCTCATGGGATTAGAAACCAAAACAGGCTCGTTGGGTCCGTTATTAGACAGTTCCGCGAAAGAGCCGGCGTTGTCAATTGTGATGTGGTGCAGCGGCCTTCCTGAACTTGCGGGTTACTTTGTACATGATGGTGACGAGGCTCTTTGCAATGTGAAGCGTTCGCGCACTTGTGATATGACTCATGATTCTTGGGTGCAGAACCAACGGCTCTTAAGAGCGTCGGTGTCAGCCACTCTGTGTTCGGCAGATGGCTTACGTTTCTGTCAGACAGGTTTGGCATTGGTTGCCTTCCATGCATCCAATTCAAGGCGGAGTTGCCTTCAGTTGCCTGGACTGATGCCGTTTTTCCGTGCAGGCGAGGGGCGTGAATCGCGCGCTGCTTGCGTGCCTTGGTTTGGATATGCGAATCGACTCGCTCTGCTTGTGCTTTAGCCCGTGCTTTGGTTAGGAGGGTTAGACGGTTCTGCTTGCTGACTCACGTCTCCCAAACCCAGCGTCGGGTTCCCGTGACTGAGGCTCGGCACTGGCTGAAAGCGCTTGCTGATGACCAGGACGCACATTCTAATTACTCGAGCCATGGGAAGGGTCACGAGGAGGTTGGTGGGGTAGACTTGGGATACATTTACATTTTACCTGTGACTCAAAGTGAAGCACACAATAAAATATACATCCTATAACTGGTCCCCACTCTAATCATGGTTGGTGGGCAAGGACTTGATCCCCACCTTGGCCATTCCCGTGCCGTTGGCCATCTCACTCTTGGGCTGTGGGATGCCTGGGGTGAAGTGGCCTTTTCGGCGCTCGCATTCGCTCGTGAACTTCAATGCCCAGCCCCGAACCCCCACACACCGCCAGGAGAAGAGCGAATGACCGGACCGGTGCAGTTGACCGGACGGGCTTTTCAGGGCTTGGGGCTGGCTGTCGAAAAGGCCCACATGTGGTATCTACCGCTGCGAAAGAGAAGTCACGCAGCATAACTCATGGAGTGGATGAGTTGAATTTGCGCCCAAAAAAAGCATGGCAAGGCAGGCAGGGCGCAGCCCCTCAGCCCGCGCGGAGCAAGCGCTTTGGCTTACCTCCGTGCTGTCAGCTGGGAATTCAGAATGTGGTGAGCTGGCTGGCTGCGCGCAATGCGCAGTACCTTTCAGGCCCGGGACTCGTGAGAAGGAACACCTCCCTCTGTGGACAATATGTTGGCCATGTTTGATTCGATAATTAGCTGTTGCTGATGGGTGCAATTTTGAACCATGTTTATTTTCAGGATGTGTTTGTCCAAGCTCAAAGCTGGTGTTTGACGACTTGTTATGATTAGACGTGTTGATGGGAGCTTGGGCACGGCTCCCGTGCTTTCCTGCATGGCCTTGGCTCGCAAGGATTGCGGATTTCGTTTTGCGGCCCGTGGGCCACTGCTGAAATGGGCGCGCTGCTGTGGGCCGAAAGGATTAATCCTTTTTTTTTGTTTTTTTTTGTTTTTGTGTGTTTCTGTGGTGTTGGTTTGTATGTTTTTGCGTTTGCGTACGTTTGCCTGCGTGTTAGTGCATGTACCTGCACCTTCATTTGAACACTTATTTTTGCTTGATGTGGTTTGTCACACTTTTTCTGGCCGACTGAGCAAATATGGGCCGGTTGGGCCGAGATGGAAAGAAAATGACCGATTCTATGGAAAAGGGTCGTGGCTATCCTTGCAGGCTGTTGTTTTGCATGGACGGCCCGCAACTGGCTTGCCATGCGGGTGGCCAGCTGATGAGGCAACAGAGCTGGTTTTGTGTGATCCTGCAATTCTAGATTTGACCACTTTTTGAGATTTGCGTCCGTTTGCGGGTTTTTGCGTCCGTTTTGCGTTTTTTTTTTTGCGATTTTTGGTGCGCAAGTTTGCGCAAAACAGCAAATGGTCAGACCAAAGGCCAATTCTTGCTTCCAATTCCTGTCCCTGTGCTGGCTCCGCTTCTTAACGGCACGAAATTCAGGATTTGCAACAAAACTAGGCGGTGCCTAGAGCCGCAGGCTCAGCTGCCCCGAAAATGCTTCACAGGTAGGAAACGCACTGTTTTTGCAAAAAGTGTTCGTTTCTCAGAAAACTGCTCGATTGTGACAACGACCAGTTTTGAAGGCCACTTCCAGAAAAAGTAGTCGATATCGCAATTGAACAAAAATAAGTGACCGCTGCAGGTATGTAATATGTGTGTATGTGGGTGGCTGGCTTAGTGTTTGTGGTGTCTCTTTGCCCGTCCTGTTTGCCTGTCCGTTTGCCCTGCCTGCCTTTTTGCTTTGCGTGGTTGGTTGGCTTTGTGTTTTTTTTGCTTGCTTCCTAGCCAGCTGGCTGGCTGGCTGGCTGGCTGGCTTGCTTGCTTTCTAGCTTGTTTGTGTTGATTGTGTTGCGTGTGTGTGCGTGTATGTTTGTGTGTGCGTGCGTTTTTCTCGCCTCGGCAGGCTCTTTCTTTCTCAGGTGTTTCAGTGCTCACTTTTGCAGCATGGCTAGCGGATATCAGAGTGCCTCACAAGCAAGAAGCGAGCCGACAAGTCACGTTCCAAGGACCTTCTGAGTTCTGAATTCTGACGCCTTATTTAGCAAATCTGTTCTTACCAGCTTATTCTGACTTTGGCCATGCCAAAGCAATGAACCGGCTGCAATGGCCAGGCAGGGCGGGTGCGGTTGTGGGCAGGGAGGCTGCGGTTCCACCGGGTCAAGCCCACCACAGCCAAGGTGCGCAACGCATGTGTGCCGAACAGACGAAGGAGAACCAGGAAAAGCCGCAACACAACACCCGTAAGCTCGCACCCCTCACACCTCCACCCACATACTCCATTTCGCAGGCAAACCTTGGCCTGACAGCGTTGCTTTGCTGGGCGTGGCTTCTGATTTGCCAGCGGCGTATAACCTACAAAGCAGAACAGGTAAGAGGCGACGTGCAATAAACACATGTTTGCCTGTTTGCCACCAGGACCACGGGAAAACTGCCAAATGGCTAAACATCATAGCCCGATTCCAAGCAATCAGTTGCCCATTGGCACCCTCTGATTCCGGGGCGCTTCCGGCCTGATCTCTTGGTCCTCGGGCGTGGACATCCCTCCCTGAGCCGTCCACATCCTGAGGCGCCCGAGGTGCGGAGGGTGTCGTCTGGGGCTTTTTGAGAGCGACTGGGCTGGGAGGCAAGTTGGATTCCCATTTGGCCATGGGGCATAGCTCTAGGGGTAACTTCCCCATTCTTTCCAGGGATCCTTCTTTCTAGAAAACCACCAGAAACCCTGGAGAAAAAGCTGGTTTTTGAAAAGAACGATGGTTGAAAAGAATGGGGAATCAACCCCAGAATAGCCTATGGCTCCATCTTGGAGTGGATGAACATCCAATTGCCACCTAGTTTGATGTTCACCAGGGGTACAGGGTTTTGACCCACAGCCATTTGCTTGAGGAAATTGACGCGCGGCCGTGTTGCAGCAGGCAACGCTCACCACGGTGTTACGGCAACCTACGTGTAACTTCTTGCCCTCACGGCAAGCTATGTGAGGGATTGCGTGAAGCAAATCCCAACAAGCTTACCCGACACATTCCTAAGTTTCTTGCGAAAGACAAGGACAAGGTATGAACCAACTTACTTGTGCGAATTGCCTGGGCAGCTTGAGAAATTCGGAGGGGAAAGGGAGCTTGTGGTACTGTCCCAGCACCTTGAAACTGCCATTCCCGAACAAGTGGATTTCGGCCACAGAAAAAAATCGCTCTAAGAAAAATAATTATAGTCTTGTGTGCAAAAGGGGTGGTTCAAATTGTGCTGCTCCGTGCACGGTTGCAGGGTGGAACTGCTGCGCGTGGGTTGCTTGTTCCGGTGCTGAATCTTTTGGCAGCTCATTGTCGGAAGCCTAAGAGCCGGCTAGTTGACATGTACTTGTTGTGTTTTCTGCCCGAGTTCCGTCTTCGCAGCCTTTCCAATTTGGCCTAGCCATGAGGGTCTGAGTGAGGCTCCGTGCGGTGGAAAACTCTTTGCATGGCGCACCACTATACTCATGTAATTCTGTAAAATCTCCCATATGGGCTCTGCAGCTTACTCACGGAAAGATTAGACCTGGGTTGGGTGTGATGATACATGTTGATGTAACCGGCAACCATTGGCAAATGGGCCAGCCGCTTTAGGCCGAGTGGAGTTGGTTTGCTTTGCCCTTGCGTTCGTGCATTGACCTCTTTCCATGGCTCCAGGACAAAAGCAAAAGCTGCAGAGGCCAAACATAATTACCAGCCACTTGCGGGTTGCCACCATTCCCGTTTCTTCATGGCTGGTTGGATGCCAAGTGCGTGCAATTACTCTTTCCAGCGTCCATGGCCTTTACGGCAGCCGCTCCCATTGGGCCTTTGGAGTCCCTTGCCGCTTGCCGCTTGCCGCTCATGTCATAAACGGCCATGGAGCAGCCGCAAGGCGCCTTCCGGCACCTTGGCAGGATGTGCTCCGCGCCACGTGTCGCCGGGGGACGGGATCCACAAAACGTTTGGTTGGGCGACAAGTCTCGCAAAACGGGTGGCCCCGCTTTTGTTGTTCGAAGCGCCAAGATGAGGGTGCCACATGTTGGGTCTATTGGGGGCGGGGGTTGCCCGGATTGAATAATTACTTCTCAAAACCGGCCGGGGGGGGGTGGGGGGTGGGGGGATGGCTGTGCCGGAGGCGCCTAATCCCTGAGCAGGAGGTACACACCGGGGTCCCAGTCTCTACTGGCCCTGGGCCTGTTTCTCAACGAGAATCTGATGTCCTGATGTACGACACTTGTTGTGGAAGTATCTGAGAAAGAGCGAGCGTGCGCAGCAAGGTCTTTTTCTATGGCGAGTATGAACTCTATGGCAGAATTAGGGGGGGGGGGTGCGCACGCACACCTTGGCAATCAGCTGTCGTAATGAAGGGCGGGGTGGCGGAGGGAATCTTTTAGTCATGGCTGCCTAGATCTCCTGAGAAGTAATATTATGTACAGTGACGAAAACTTGACTTGTGGCAATGCAACCCATCAAAACATTACGGATGGGCTTTCTTTCTGGGCCCACGGCACCATGGCCTTGCAGCCCCAATTGTTTGTCAGTTTGGCTTTGTTTCGTGCACCCCTCGCAACAATCCGCCCGAAATGTGGCGCATAGATACTTGCTCCGTATCATGCCCTCCGTTTAGGAGTGACATGTGCTCAATGTCGGTTGTCATTCGGTCATCATTCTGCGGTCATTTGACAAAGGCTCTTCCCCGTCCATGACGCGCCATGTTGAAACAAATGTCCTTCCCATGTCACGTGGGCTCCACTCACTGAACATCCATGAGTGCTCTCTCCCCCTCTCTTTTTTTTTTTCTCTCTCTCTCTCTCTTTCGTTAAAATCGGTGGTTACTTTGCTTCCAAGTGCAAGTGCTGTAGTGTTCAAACAAACAGTCAACCGATTGTAGTCTGCAGCAATCCACCTTTTGCCCATGCAATGTAGTGAGCTCAAGGCCTGCAGTACATGCAACACAAATGCAGGAAGTGAAGCATGTAGTTTGACACGGCCCCTCAGTTAAAAGGTCTTTGTAGTACCTTTTCAACTGAAGTGCAAAACATGAATTGACAGTAGTGATGAAAACCATTGTTGTTCATCAATTCTACTGTAGTGACAAAAGTAGTAACCTGCACTCAGTAGTTCTCGCTGTTCAGGTTCCAGCTCGATGTAGTGCGCTGGACGGGCAGTGGTGGTGTGGTGGTTGTCTGGTGCTCAGTGATGTGTAGTTGGTCCATCACCGTGGTCGGGTTGTAGTAGACGGTGTTGCCAGGTGTAGGATGGTTGAAGTGGTAGTTGGAGTCGTTGTATGTTTGAGGTGGTGGAGTCCCATGGTCGCTGGAGTCCGTAGTGACAGCCACCTCCGGTGTAGACGCCCTGTCGGGTGTAGTCGCATCTCCCATCGTAGCATCTGCAGTAGATGGAGCGCCATGGCTGCAGTGGAGTGCGAATGTAGTGAAACGGGGCAAAAACAAAATGAGCCTGAGTAGTTGCTATCAGGCAGGCGGCGCATGCAGACATGTAAAACAAACAACTGTAGTGTTGACTCAGCCGCCAAAAGTGCAAGTGCAAATGCATGTAGTTACTGTTACTTACATACCAAAAGTGTCGTGTTACATGTAGCTACTTACATACATGAAATGTCCAAAGTCGTTGTTGTTGTCGTGAAACTGCTGCGCTGGTCGTTCGTAGTGCTAAATGCGTATTCCAATGCTCTGGATGAGCATGTGTAGCGTTTCTTTGCTGATGTATTTGGTAAACAAATCTGCGCTGTTGTGGAGTGTGTTGACCTTAAGGATTCTGATGATGTCATGCTTGGTGAGGTCTTGTGTGTAGAGAAATTTAAGGTCGATGTGTTTTGCTCGTTTGCTAGTGCCTTGTCGTGTAGCAATGCTCTTGCCTGCTGTGGAGTCTGTGTGGATGCGTAGGTTTAGCTTGCTGCAAATGTTGGTTTCAAGTAGGAAGTTTCTGAGGTGTAGTCCCTCATTAACCCCTGTGCAAATGGCGTAGAGTTCAGACTCTGCTGAGCTGAGTGCTATTGTAGCTTGTGTTCTGCTGCCAAATGCAACTGTTGTTCCTAAAAAGATGATGTTGAAACCTGAAGTTGATTTCCTGGTAGTAGGGCATCCTGCCCAGTCGGCATCGACATGAACGTCGAGATCCAGGATGTTGTTGGTGTTTGCTCTGAGTGTTGTTGTTGGTTCTATGGTGAATTTGTAGTGCTTGGTGCCGTGCAAGTAGCGTAGTAGATGTTTGACTCTCTTTTGTGAAAGTTCTGTAGGTGCTGTGAGGTCTCGTGCTAGTTCTTTTGTGGAGTATGCAATGTCTGGTCGTGTGTATGCTAACCATTGAAGTTTGCCAACAATCCTTCTGTACCTTTTGTGTTGTTCGTGGTCAAGTAGTGCTTCATCTTCTATTGTTGGTTTGTAGTGTGCAATTCCTGGAGTGTTCACTGAGTTGCAGTTGTTCATTCCAGACTCCTCGATCATGTTGTCGATGTAGGAGTCCTTTAGTCCAAGATTGCAGTAGTTGCCAAAGTGGTCGATGTTTCTTCCAAGAAATTGTTGTGGTTTGCCAGGTTCGAGGTAGCCGATGTGCTTGAGTAGGACCTGCTTCTGGATGGCCTCGAAGGTGGAGTCGACAGTAGTCTTGTCACCAAGTACCAAGAGGTCATCCACGTAGACCATGATGTAGCAGTCGCGAGTCGCATTGGTGTAGACGTTAGGTTCTGACTTTAGTCTTACAAAGCTGAGCTTTTGTAACACTTCAGCCAGGTAGTCCTGCCATGCTTTTGGTGAACTGCGTAGTCCACACATGGCTTTCTTTAGTCGCCAGATTTTGTCCTGTTGTGGACAAAGTTCTTTAGGTGGCCAAAGGTAGACGTCACGTTGTTTACCGTCGTGGTCTTTTGCGATGGGTGCGTGTAGAAATGCTGTAGAGACGTCACCTAGTCGCGCGATCCAGTTTGGTCGTGACATTTGTAGTGCGAGAAGTGTCCGGAGTGTCGTGAACATTGGTGTAGAGGCGTAGACGGAGTCTTCGTCCTCGATCTTCTCTGTGTAGCCTTTTGCGACGATTCGGCTTCGTACTCCTGGTCCTTTCTTTCTGTGTACCCATCTTGTAGGCATCGCTTCTCTGATGACGTTGTCGTCGACGGTAGACGCATCTACTTCGTCGTAGACGTCATGTAGCTTCATTTGGTTTGACTCGTGTTTCATTCCTTCCAGTAGTTGTGTTTCGTCGAAACCTTCGTTGTCGAAGATTATGGGTTGGTCTTCTGAGGTGTCGTCGTTTGTGTAGGGGGTGATGGATTTTCCGTTGGGAAGTGTCACTGCGTTGATTTTCTGTCGTAGTGGTGGTGGTTCTTTGGTTGCTTGCTCCGTTGATCTGATTGTAGTGTCCTTTGAGGTCTTCTGTGCTTTAGTTGGTTGCATTACTTCTTCCGGAGTTAAACGTCGTAGTGTTTGTCGAGGTGGTGCTGGTAGTGGTGGATGTTGTCGTCCGGTTGGTGAAGTAGCCATAGGACTATCCGGTAGTGGTCGTGAACTTGACGTCGATGTGGACGGAAGTCGTGGAGGTGGTGTAGTGCGTTGTTGTTTTGTTGCGGGTTCCGCAACGATGTCGTCCGTAGCGTTCGTTTGTTGTCCGAAATCTTGCGTGGACCTTCTTTTCTCTGACGGTTGTAGTTGCGTATCCAACAGTGTTGCGAACGATGGGTTGTAGGTGTTCCGTCGTGGTGCCCATGGTGTGCCGGAAACTTTGTTCAACAGTGCGAGGTCGTATTTGAAGTCCGGTTGTAGTCTCCGTACTGTTCGTACCTTTTGTACGCCTGATTCCGTTGCGACGTAGTTTTCTCCGGTTTCGGAAACTTTTCCGAGCCAGATGCATTTCTGCATCCGTAGGTCTGCTTTTGGAAGTTTCTTGTGTTGTGGTGGAAGGTAAAGTAGTGTCTCGCCAAATTCGCAGATTGCTCGCTCGTAGTTTCTTCCCCAGCGGCGTTCAAAGCTTGTGTAGCCGTCTGAGTGAATGACGTAGCGATTTACCGTCCATGCTGCATGTCGTACTATCCAAGGTAGTAGACAGTGCTTTGTGGACATCGTCATGCTGTAGTTGCTTTCAACCTGAGCTTTGACGACGCGGATTTGTCCGAGAAGTGTTCTATGTAGTCGCTCAACGCTTCCTTGACTGTTGCTGCTGTAGGATGGTGAATGTCGTACAGTCATTGATCCGACTTTAGATGCTGTTGCTATTAGTAGTGCAATGAGTGTGTCTTCGTTGTCGCTTTGTAGTATGCCTTGTGTTCTTCCGCATTCAAAGATGAATGCTTGTAGGTTGTTGATCATGTAGTCCATCATTGATGGTTTGTCCGGAACCAATACCGCCATGCACAGTTGTGTAGTAACATCAACTGCTGTTAAGACTGGTATGGTCTTCGGATCTTGTTGTGATTTGATGTAGGCAAAATCCACTTGGATGATGGGTTGTCGTGATTGTTGTTTCTTGTAGTTGTCCTGGCGTCCTTTGCCTTGAACGCAAATTGGACACCAATTTCTGTATGGTAGGTGTGTCAAGTTGTGTTCTGCTATTTGTTGTGGAGTGGGCTGCTGCAGTTGTCGTAGTCCTCTTGCTCTGTGTGCTTCATGATGCTCGTGTTGTTGTTCCTCATCGTGGTTCTCTTGGATGTACTCGTAGTCTTTCTTCACGGTGAACCTTGTGGTTCCTTTCAATTGAAATGGTAGTGCTGCGTTGCCCATGACTGTCCAGTCATCTTTGCGTTGCGAAACTTCTCCAAAGTTGTTGTGAGTGATTGTAGTTCTGTGAGGTTCAAGTGTGCTGATTGGTGGATGTCCTGGTCCATCTGTTGGAGTGAATAGAGTTGTTCTAAGTGTTGTGTGGTGTCTTATCCAGTATTTACCTTGTCTTTCCCAGTAGTCTTGGTTGTCCTCCTGTGCTGTGAGTGGTCTGTGGATTGTCTCCTTTGGTTGTGTGGTGTCAAGATCTGTATCTTTTGTGGTGCTCGTAGTTGGATCTTTGATCTGGTTGGTGGTGTGTCCATTAGCCGTTGTGGTTGTGAGCTCTGCCTTGTTGGTGTGGTCTTTGATGTTGCTCTGCGTGTAGGTGTTATCTTTCTTCTGCATCTGGTTTCTCCAGTCCAGTTGTCACCTTCTAGTCTTCGTTGTAGTTCTTGCTTGGAAAGATGTGTTGGGTTCTCTTGTAGTTGTTCTTGCTCTTGCCCTTGTCTGTTGATGATGGTTAGTCGCCCATCATCTAGTTCTCCTTCAGGTATTGGGCAACCGCTGTTGTGTGGTGTGAATAATGCTTTGCGTGGTCGTTTGTGTACTCCGATGGTGTAGTCACCATCAAGTTTCCAGTAGTCAGTGTTTCCACCAAGGATCTGTCGTAGTCCTTGGTCTGTGTGGGTGAGTGGTGCAATTTGTTCTTGTCGTTGTACTGTTTTCTCCGTAGGTTTGAATCACAGCAATGGATTTTCCATTGTCTGTAGTCATTGGGTAGATGTCGAATCCTGTAGGGATGTCGATCTTCTCTGCTCGTAGGTAGAAAAGTCCTGAGTGTCTTATGAGGTGTGCTTGTTGTTGTCCATGTGTGATGGTGCAGTGTCGTGGAGTGAAGTCAAGTCCATATCCTCTATCAAGTAGTCTTGATGCACTGAGGATTGGATACTTCACATCACAAACGTAGTAGGGTATCATGATCCTGAAGTTGTCCTGCTTGTAGGGAACGTACTTGATGCCGTAGACAGGAATCTTCTTGTTTGTAACCGTGTAGAGTTGTGGAACTGATTCTCCACAAGGTCGTAGCGGTAGGTCTGGTGCGTAGTCCTTCGGGCAAACATGTGTAGATGCTCCTGAGTCGATCAACAGGTGGTGGTATGACTTGAAGTTGGAGTACATGATGTAGTGTGTGATAGTGTCCTCAATCTTCTTGTTCCTTTGTTGTTGTCTTGCTGCTGCTATGTCAAAGTGTGGCTGTGTGGTGTCTTCTTGTAGGAATTGTTGAAAGCTCTTGCTGTGGTCGTTCCATGATGTTGTGTGTGTTGTTCTCTTACCAAGTAGTGATTTGGATTTGTGCTTGTGTAGTCGTGAGTTTGCTTGTCTGATGTGTCCAATGGTAAGGTGTGACTCGTTGATGCCTCCAATGTAGTTTGCTGTGTCCTCATAGCTGTTGTCATTCCAATCCCAGCTGTTGTGATAGTCGTAGTCGTTCCAGTTCTCCTCCATGTAGTTCACCTCGTGTTGTCCTTCTTCTCCTTCGTAGTACCAGTCCCAAGTGTCGTTCACATCCTGAGGTAGTTCTTCATTGTTGTCATGATCTGCTTGTTCTTGCTCTAT